TGTCCTGTTATTCTGTATTTAAAGACTGGAGTTTGGGTTGTAGGTGTCAGTGGAAAACAGGATAAGGAAGGCTAAATGCCACGGCCTGCAGAAACAGGGCCACATAAACTGGGGGTGGGACTGTGGTGTGAACTACTAGCCAGTCACTGGAGCTTGACCCGGGTAGAAGAGTTTTTTACTTTAAATGTACATGTCAACAGAAATCACCTGATGCTTTATTGATTGGAAGTCTGTGTGGCGTCAGGTCTCCTCTTCAACGTGCTGTGTGGATTAAATATCAAATACAATTATGGAAACTAATCAGTTTGCATACTTAATAAGTTCAGGAGCCACATAACGCTTTATCTTTTGTTTCATCTCCAGCGCTTCCCTTCTGTTTTGCATGTGCGTCAGGTGATGAGTTGGTTTGTTTCTTCACATTGTTGCATGAGGGGACATGCTGGCTGCATTTTTGCTCCAGAAATTACATACTGCTGCTTAAATGGCAGGTAACTAGAACATTACTGAGGTTGATGTGCACACTGTTAGCAAATACAAGGGAAATCCTTGAACAAACAGCCACATTTTCACCACACACTCCTGCAGAAGGTATGTTGCAACCATTTCTCTCTCTGGACAGCATCTGCTTTCATTTCTTATTGAGCTGGGGCTGGACTCTGTCCTCACCTATCAGGACAGGGATTCAGGACGTCTACAGATAAACTAAAAATCAATTTTAACACCCCCAGTATGTTTTTAATGTTGCCTTGTTTCAAAGAAATAAACCTCAAAGAGCAGCAGCATGAATCAGAGTCAGCTGACCTCTGTAACTGCTGCTAAGAGTCTCTCCTACATGAAAGAGTCACAAGAGACCTGTCATGGTTGAGTTCACTCAGTGAAAGAAAAATTAGGACAGTTCCAGATAATGATGGTGCCTGTAACTTAAGCGGTGGCAAAATGGGCCTTTTCTCTGCTCACACATAAACTTTAGTTTACTGCACGTCTCACTCTGGTGAAGGAAGCAGCTCAGATTTTCTGTTTCACTCTGAGGAGAGAAGGAATGCAACTGATTCATTCTCCCCACTCTGGAAGGTTCTGTGGGAGTGGGACTTGTAAATCAAATGCCAGTGTGTGCGTGTGTGTGTATGTGTGTGTGTATGTGTATGTATGTGTGCGCGTGTGTGCACGAGCATGTGTGTGTGTGTGTGTGTGTGTGCGTGTGTGCGTGCACGCATGCACATGTGTGTGTGTGCGTGAGTGTGTGTGTGTGTGTGTGTGTGTGTGTGTGTGTGTGTAGGTGTGTGTGTGTGTGTGTGTGTGTGGACTATGCCATGTGTTTGGGTAAAAAGTCACCTGAAGTGTATCTGCCTGTATCTAATTTAGATCCTGCTCGTCAGGACACCTGGCTAAATCTAAAGTGAAGCCTGGTCTCTTTGGGTTTGAAGACAAATGTCCACAATGTGTGAGAGACAGGAAGTCCAGAGTCCAGATCCTGTGTCTGGTTTGTTGTGTGATGACTGGTTGCCCCTGGCAACAGCAGCAAGGCTGTGTTCACCAGGACCTTAACCCTGGACAGTGTGGGGTGTTTGCCAACCTGTGAGCTGTGTTGCTGTGGTAACCACAACCGCCTGGGCCACTCCCATTTCTAGTTTGCAGATGTTAAGTCATACGGCAACTATTCAAATTGTTATTTGCTTTGTCTGGCTTTGACATCTACATGAATGACTGCACTGCATTGTTTTATTATTTCAGGTTTATATTTTTGTTTTGCATTTATGAAGCCAGTGTTTATGCATCTGTAATGTGTGTATGTGTCTGTGTGTGGCACAAAAGGACTGGCTATCGCTGCCAGTCCAGCCACTCCCTACAGCCATTTTACACCCTCTGGTCCGCTCCATTTTGTAACAGCCAGACTCAGTAGCTGGTTGTCTAAATGCAACTTATTATAGTTATTGCATTTCATTCTTCTCATTGCAGATGTATTTGTTCCAGTGGGTACAGAAAATATTTTTCATTCTTTGTTATTTTGCAGCCACTCACTAAAATAGTTTAAATGCACGTTTTTACCTCATTAATGTACACACACAGCACCCCATATTGACAGAAAAACACAGAATTGTAGAAAATTTTGCAGATTTATTTAAAAAGACGAACTGAAATATCACATGGTCCTAAGTATTCACACCCTTTGCTGTGACACTCATATATTTAACTCAGGTGCTTTCCATTTCTTCCGATGGTCCTACACCTTCATTGGAGTCCAGCTGTGTTTGATTACACTGATTGGATTAGGAATTAGGATTAGGATTAGACTGATTTGATTAGGAAAGCCACACACCTGTCTATATAAGACCTTACAGCTCACAATGTGTCCATCCATCCATCCATCCATTTTCATCCGCTTGCCCGGAGTCGGGTCGCGGGGGGCAGTAGCCTAAGGAGAGAGGCCCAGACTTCCCTCTCCCCAGCCACTTGGGCCAGCTCCTCCGGGGGAATCCCAAGGCGTTCCCTGGCCAGGTGAGAGACGTAGTCCCTCCGCTGTGTCCTGGGTCTACCTTTAGGTCTCCTTCCGGTTGGACACGCCTGGAAAACCTCACCAGATGCCCGAGCCACCTCAACTGGCTCCTCTCGATGTGGAGGAGCAGTGGGTCTACTCCGAGCCCCTCCTGAATGACCGAGCTTCTCACCCTATCTCTAAGGGAGAGCCCAGCCACTCTTCGGAGAAAACTCATTTCGGCCGCTTGTATCCGCGATCTCACAATGTATGTCAGAGCAAATGAGGTCAAAGCAACTGCCTGAAGAGCTCAGAGACAGAAGTGTAGCAAGGCACAAATCTGGCCATGGTTGCAAAAATATCTCTGTTAAATTTAAGGTTCCTCAGAACACAGTGGCCTCCATAATCCTTAAAGGGAAGACGTTTGGAATGACCAGAACCCCCACTAGAGTAGGCCGCCCAGCAAAACTGGGGGAAAAGAGTCTTGGCGAGAGAGGTAAAGAAGAACCCAAAGATCACTGTGGCTGAGCTCCAGAGATGCAGTAAGGAGATGGGAGAAAGTCAACCATCACTGCAGTCAGAGCTTTATGGCAGAGTGGCCCGTCAGAAGTCTCTCCTCAGTGCAAGACGCATGGAGTTTGCTAAAAGACACCTGAAGGACCCTGAGATGGTGAGAAAAAAGATTATCTGGTTTCTGATGTGACCAAGATAGAACTTTTTAGCCTTAATTCTAAGAATTATGTGTGGAGAAAACCAGGCACTACTCATCACTTGTCCAATACAGTCCCTACAGTGAAGCATGGTGGTGGCAGCATCATGCTGTGGGGGTGTTTTTCCGCTGCAGGGACAGGACGACTGGTTGCAATTGAGAGAACAATGAATGTGGCCAAGTACAGGGACATCCTGGACAAGAACCTTCTCCAGAGTTCTCAGATCTCAGACTGGGCTGAAGGTCTACCTTCCACCTTGACAATGACCCAAAGCACACAGCTAAAATAACCACGGAGGGGCCTCACGGTAACTCTGTGACTGTTCTTGAATGACCGAGCTAGAGCCCTGACTTAAACCCATCTCTAGAGAGACCTAAACATGGCTGTTCACCAATGTTCACCATCCAACCTGACAGAACTGAGGATCTGAAAGGAGGAATGGCAGAGGATCCCCAAACCCAAGTGCAAGAAACTTGATGTATCTTTAACAAGAAGACTCATGGCTGCATTAGCTCAAACGAGTGCTTCTACTGAGCAAAGGGTCTGAATACTTAGGACCATGTGATGTTTCAGCTTGCCTTTTTTAAAACCTGCTTACATTTCTAAAATTCTGTGTTTTTCTGTTGCGTGTTCATTAATGAGGAAACACATTAATTTATTTGATTTTTAACAAATGGCTGCAATAAAACAAAGAGTAAAACATGTACGGGGGTCTGAATACTTTCTGTACCCACTTAAATCTGCCTTTAAAAAACAGTTAACACTTCTTCTGAAATGTGCGTTTTAGACCACAAAATCAAACCACTTCTAAAAGTCTAAAATGTCTTCATTAATTCAATCAGTATTTTACATAACTGTCAACATGACACGGAGACCAGACTCATCTGCTTGTTAAATGATCTGAGATGATTCAAAGTTGACAGTAGCAGCACAAAGCGACCATAATGTGGTGTTTACAAGACAGAGTAGAGGCAAGTCTGACGTTTTTAGCTGCTTTCTGTGATCTTGTTCCTCTTTACCAGTGGCTGTGCTGCTGCAGAATGTTTACGGTGTTATCCAGCCTATAGTGGAGCTTTGTGGTTGGGCTGTTTCTTATTTAGTTTCATCCCAGTTCTAAATTAACAGTGATTTTAACAACTCAAAGCATGCTTAATTTAAACTGAAGAAGAAAAAAGCTGCATGGGTGAATTTGACATTTCTCAGCGGTGCAAAGTGTCTTCTGGTTGTTTGTTGTCTATCTCTATTTAGTTTCTTTGTCCTCTCCTTCCTCCTTTGTACACCCTTCGTCTTAATCTCTGGAACTGTACTTTGCTGGGTTTTATGAACAAAGAGCCTAGTGTGTATCTCTCTGCTAGCTGGAGCCAGAATAAAGCATGGGTGCCTTCAGATATATTGGACATAGAGCAGGGTATCCAGGGCAGCAGAAAGGATGTGTCCGGCCTGGCATGGGCCTCAGATTTATGGTGTAGATGTTTCTCTGCATTTATGGGACAAAGATGAAAAGATTCCCTTGTTCTGCTTTTCTCACAAACACTCTCCACCCTGAAAGTACCCCTCCACTCCCATTCCTTCTCTTTTTTAGCTCTATCTTGCATGTCTGTCGGCTTGGTCGGGCAGTGGGTCTCACTGGGGTGAAAGGGAATAGTACCAGTGTGGCGCAAGCAGAGAGAAGGTGTGGAGCCACTCGGGCCTTTGCAGAATATGTCATTTCAAAGTAGCTGGGAGAGTGGAGATCTCCTTGGAGATCGCTTCTGGCTCAGCCCTAAAAAAGGTAAGAGGATCTAATATGGAAGGACAGGGGAGGCAAAATTCAATGTGTCACAATTTGCACTCAGAGGAACTGATTAGAGACTTGAATGCAACTTGTGCAACCCCCTTAGCTCCTAAATGGTGTTTTGCATCTTTAGCATGCTGAGTCTGTTCCCTGGCTGCTGTTTAGCTGAGCTGGCATACAACTCTTTGCTTGGGAAAGAACAAAACTAGTAGTGAGCTGGTTCACAGGTTCTGTCCAGATCTCACTGCTGGAACTTGTTTACAGAACAAAGTGTTATTGTATTCTGTCTGTGGAATTTACCACAGAGATCTGGTTCCATTTATGTTTTATGTTAAAAGAGGGAAAATGTGTTTAGTGTTGTGTGCAATATTCTGGACAAACACACGTATTTCAATGAGTTTTATATAATTGATTCAAAACGCTGAAGCCAGTTAAGTTTAACTGTTGCGAAAGTCTCTGTTTAACTCCTCGTCAGCAGGCTACTGTCAAGTTTGTAGACTGGAAGGTTTGTGACATGGTTAGGTGTCCTCTGCGAAACACATGGCAGGCAGATTGTTAGAAAGATTAAAGAAAACAAAACAAAACAAAAAAGCTGAAGTCCTCCAGCTCGTTCTGTGATGCTGTTGTTTTCCCTGACTTCATTTCTTTCCTCATTGAACAAGGAAGACATCGATGTGATCTATGACTTGTGGAGTCGACATCAACAAAGACTTCTATTCAGTTCTTACTTCTAGCTCAGGTCATGTTTTATGAAGCTAGTTAAGAAAAGTATAAATCTGAGTGTTTTCTACTGACGATAACATAGCCCTTTTGTTGATTCAGAGGGATAAATTCATCCTTACAACAGTGTTATGAATGTAGGGCTGCAGCTATTGAGTATTTTAATAATCTATCAAGTCCTCCATCGATTAATGGAATATTCTACTTGATGACATTTCAAATGAAACAAGATTGGTTTGCTGCTAAAAATATGAAAATAAAACAACTAAATAATAATAATAATTGTAATGATAATGTGTATTGAATTTATGTTGTCTAGTTCTTTCCCAGCTGACCACATATTTTAGTTTAGGTTTGTATTAATTTTACTCATCCAGGACAAAATAGCATAACTAAATATGTGATCAGTAGAATTATTTCATTAACATGTTCAGTAGTAAGCTATTGGAAATGCTAATAACATTTCATTCTGGAAACAATGTAATTATGACATATCTATTATATTATGTATGGGTTGGCAACATAATCTAATCTGTTCAGATCTAATCCAATCTAATTCAAAGACAAAGTGTTTGTGCTACATGTTACAATGGCTTGCTATAGCCGTGCTGCGGTGTGCGGAGCAGACGCGAGTTGCAGTCTCCATGTATCTGCTGCAGCTCTGCTCCATTCTAGCCCTGCAGCTGCAGCTCTGCTCCATTCTAGCCCTGCAGCTGCAGCTCTGCTCCATTCTAGCCCTGCAGCTGCAGCTCTGCTCCATTCTAGCCCTGCAGCTGCAGCTCTGCTCCATTCTAGCCCTGCAGCTGCAGCTCTGCTCCATTCTAGCCCTGCAGCTGCAGCTTTGCTCCATTCTAGCCCTGCAGCTGCAGACGTCCACAAATAAACAGGGTAGTGGGGATTGTTCTTCTGCTTGTAGAGTTTAGTCATTCACAACCATCGTTTTTTTCTGAACCCCACACAATCATGTACGTGCTGTACGCTAACATTAGCATTATCCAGTGCCCGTAGGCTAACTCTTGATCCCAATGTTTGGACCAGTTCTGCCTTTTACCATGGTTTGTGTCTTCGCTGGTTCCTCTTGTTTCCTCCACAGCACCTAGATCACCACCTTGTGCACCAGTGAAATATGTTCAGACTGTGGTGTGCACATTTAATGAAGCTTATAATCAGTAAAAAATGATTTGATGAATTTAACGAATCGAACCAGTGGGTGATTCATTTCAGCCCTAGATGAATGCCAGACACCCTTCTTACCTCCCCCGCAACACACAGCGCTGCTTTATTTGTAGTCAATGTGAAGATAATCAGTTCTATAGATTTACTTTAAATATTTAAAACCTACAGTTTAAATAGTTTATTTTTTTCAGCTGGAAATGAAACTTGTGGTTCTTCTGAATAAAATGGTACTGATGTCCACCAGATCCTTTTCAGCCTCACATGCTCAGTTTAACGGTTAGGACTGAGCAGGCTGTGACCAGAACATCAACAGCTGTTTTGGGTAATAACTGTGGATATTCACACCTCTACAGTGCTTCACTGAATATGGGTGACTATAAAACATTTGTGTGCACCAAGAGCTTTTTGGTAAACACTTATGTCAATGATCTCTTTTTAACAACTGCTGCTAAAGTCTATAAACTAAACTGTGACACCATAGCCTCCGTATAAAGCTGTTAACTATACCTCTGACTACGTGCGATTCCTGGGCCAGGTGAAGGAGCTCTAACCTTCTTCAAGGTGTAAAGGCTTTTCTTCTGGATAAAACTAACTTAGACCAAACTAAAGGACTTATTCACCTTCCAGCCAAGTTACAGAAACTTTGACACTTGTTCAAAAAGCTGTAAGAAACAGGTGACTGTGACTGAAGTGCAGCTCTGGCAACTCATTCCTGAGCTGTGAGACCTCAACAGAAAAAGATTGTCACCTTTAGTTTTAAAGTTGGAACAAGTCACGACCATTGAGACCCGCCGTGTTAGAGGGTCTCAGATTGCATTCAGGTTCATCACAGGACAGATTTATATTCTAACGGTTTCCCTCTTTTCTTTTGTTAAATAATACATCTGGGTGTAGTTTTGCTCAGATAATGTTAACTTTTTTATTGTTTGAGCAAAAACTAAACAATCTAAATAAATTAAAGACTAGTTTAAGATTATTGCTCTACATGAATGGTTGCATGTTTTACTTTATACATTATTTATTATGTCAGTGACAAAAATATCATTTAATTGAGGAGGATGAGGAGATTGTGCTGACCTTTGCTTTTACAGGAAGAGACAGGAGTTGCCTGGGTCTGATTTCAATATGGAGGACAAGTGTGTAACATCAATAAACCCTCCAACCACTGGACCAGTCTGAGCCAGTCTCCAGCTACCAGCGACCATCAGCTGGTGGTGACAGGTCTATTCTGGGACTTGGGGAGGTCCAACAGAACAGAAATAGATTCTTAAGCAGAAATTTACTCCAATAACCATCTCTACTTTTATCTGATTCAGTCAAATACACCGTTCTGACTTCACAGCTGTTGTATCAGTTATAGTTAGTATAAAGTAACCGTTCGGATATGGTTCAGTGGCCCTGAGTGGGATTATTGGAGTTTAAATGTTGATTACACATGCATTATTACACAGTTAAAACTGTAGAAATAAACACGAGCTTTTTTAGAAAATATCTGCACACGACCCAGGGATTTGATGACTCAGCACAACTGTATTAATGTTGCTCTGAAGGCTTAACTATAATGCATTCAGACATTAAATGTGTTCAATCTCCTTTCAGCTGTCAGATAACAGCTAATTAATAAGGCACACACTTTAAACCAGGCAACTAAAGGTTATTTCTGTGTAACAGTTTTAATTCATTTTAAATGTGCCGTGTTTGTTTTTAGAAAGCTGTTCAAAGATCAATTCAATGGGCCGACCACTTTGTTCAGGCTCCCATGTAGACTTAGAATCTGATGGTAGCAGAAAATGGTATAACACTGGCTTGCGACACACACACACACACACACACACACACACACACACACACACACACACAGGTCTGCTGAACTATAAAGGTCAGCATTTCCAGAAACAACTCTGATCCAAATCTACTCCCACTCACTTTGCGCCCTATACCTCCAATGCAGCTAAAGGCTATCTAAGTCATCTCAGGTTACTGAAAACCCATCAAGAATATGAACTCACATTTTGATAGTTATTTTAACAGAGCCATGATTCAGAAAAAGCAAACTGATCCGATGCATCATTCTGCTCTCTGGTTTTCCCAGAAAGTGAAACTGGTGTCTGCTTTTATAGTCTCTTTTCCTACGTTGTTTCACTTCCTCTGACAGTGATGTCTTCATTCTCTAGACTGGCTCATTTACATTTTTCTTCAGAATGCATTATATGTTTATTTTAAACCAAATACGCACCTCAGTTTAACAGGGCTGTGTTATCTGAAACCAGAAATGGACATCTTTAAGTCTGTTCCATTTCACCTAGTTCTCCAGGGCAAAACGGGCCTGGGAATGTTTTCAATAGATATCCGTTTTACTGCTAAAATGAGTCAGAGGCCTTTTGTTTTAAGGTCTACCCAAAGCTCCGAGGCTGCTTTTTAAAATGATTAACAGCCATGCTAATATTACTCACATTCACAGCTCTGCACACGTCTGTTCTGCAACAATACCAACACTTTGTCTTGATCATGTCAGGCATATCGCCACATGTCACTGACTAAACACTTGTTTCGTAATGCCTAATTCCTTTTCTGAACATTCCTGCCTTCATCTGCACTCCCATCCCTCCTCGCTGCCTTTACACACATTGCCTTAGGTCCTAATCCTACCTGCTGTAGGTGGAGTATTTCTGTACACACCTCGAGGTATCAACCCGTTGTCTGAAAAAAGATGTCTTAGACAACTAAAGGAACTCACTCTTATGCATTATTACTTATGTGTAATATGAAACCTAAACTAAAATTATTAACCTAATCTAATCCCTAGGGTCAACTTCAACACATTTCTCTTTTTGTATTTTATTCTGGGAATTACCCAGAAATGTTTTAGGCATACGTTAACGCAGCGTTGCTGCAGAAACTTTGTTCAGCTGTCTCCGTTTAGTCTACTGTTGACTGAAAAGCGGATATGTTTTTCTCTTAGGCTAGGCTGACTTCATTTGGCTGTTGCCATGGTGAACCAAAGAAAAACATTGAATGTGCAACGGGGAGGTTTAAAACACTCACTTGCTCCCTCCAACTATAATTTAGCACCTGAATGACTGTGTTTGAGCGGTCTGAGTACTCTGCTTCTCCATGTATCCATGTCTTGTCTGTGGGACGAGCGAACACGTGCTCCCTTGGTTTAAACAGCAGTTGTCAGGCTCCCTTCCAGTCTTTCTGGCAGGGAGACGACACTGTCTCTGACACTGAAAGACGAACAGGAGACAGATGTACAGAAGAGAAAAGTGATCTAGAGATAGAAATCGAATATCATGTTCTATGGAGAGCAGAAAAGACCAGCTATGGAGCACGGTTCTTTATATAGGTGGTGAAAAACACATTCTTGGTGCAAAAGTAGAAGCTAAGGTTAGCTGTCTGAAGCAGCAGCTCCACTTTAGAGGGCTTTACAGCCTGTTGCATCACCTTAATCTTGGAGACCACATAACAGACACATATAAATAGAAAAAAAATTCAGTGTTAGCTTTGTGAGATCAGAGATGCAACATATCAGGCTGCCATATCATACCCTCTTAAAAGGTCTTTGCCTTTTAAGAGAATCTAAAACACTTATAGATTGTGTTTAATGATTTAAAGAGGGTGTGTGGTTACCTCAGAAAGCAACACCTTGAGTACAGAATAAACGATTTCTAGTGACACATGATCGATTTCTAGTGACACGTGATCCCTGAAAAGTGTCAAACTGAACAACTTGCACTCCTAAATCTACGTAAAGCTAATTGCCCCAGGAGAAGATAAGTACGCCAACTGCTTGTGTCCTGTTATCATCACCGATGTTAATGTAGGGCGTCCACTGGACTGTTGTTTGCCAGCCGCCTGTAGGGATCACTTAGTTGTGTGTGTGTGTGTGTGTGTGTGTGTGTGTGTGTGTGTGTGTGTGTGTGTGTGTGTGTGTGTGTGTGTGTGTGTGTGTGTGTGTGTGTGTGCTTGTTCATCTGTGTGTGTGTATGTGTCAAACTAGGGGTGTGTCTTTAATGTGTGGGTTGGTGTTTCTGTACAAGTTAGAGCAGCAGAACATGTGCTTCTGCACAATAGTTAGACTTTGCTCTGCCTTTATTTTCCTCAGTGAGATCATGTTTTTTTCTTCCTTCTTCCTCCTCTACGATTTCCTTCTGTGAGGTTTTTTATTTTTTTATTTCTTCGTCTTGGTTTTTTTTCCCTAAGAATAAGAGACACAAGGTAGGTGGAGCCGGACAGAGAAGTGTGCCACACTCCCCCCCTCTCTCTTTCTCGCACGCTGCCTTTCTTCCATTCTGTCATTGCCATTCTGGCTGAACAGACAGTGTTCATTCCCTGCCACACTAAACGCTGAGGGAACGACACACATCTGACTTTTGCTAAAAGGAATCTTCATTTTCTTCACGGAAACTAAAAGATCATCAAGATCACCAGGAAGAGACAGTAAGAAAACGTTTAATGCTCTTTGAATTTTTTAAAAACTGATTCTTAAAAACTTTTTTAAGAACCGAGAAGCACATGACAGCTGGTTTTACAGGATTCTTTAACACCTGTGACTCTTCAGTTTCACCGTGTTTGATGTTCATAACTTTTTAATCTTTTTTTTTTTTTTTTTGAGAAAGTTTACTGTCTTGAAGCACAATGGTTGCTGGAATGCTGATGCCCATGCGGGACCTAAAGGCCATCTATGAAGTCCTGTTTCGAGATGGTGTCATGGTGGCCAAGAAGGACAAAAGGCCACAAATAAAGCATGGTGATGTACAAAGTGTAAGCAACCTGCAAGTAATCCGTGCAATGGGCTCCCTTAAGTCCAGGGGTTATGTGAAGGAAACGTTTGCTTGGAGACATTTCTACTGGTACCTGACCAATGATGGCATTGTTTATCTGCGTGACTACCTCCACCTGCCCACTGAAATAGTTCCAGCCTCTTTGCAGAGGGTCAGGAAGCCAGCCGCCACTCTGGCTTTTGCCCATCGGGCTCCTCGGGTCCAATCTGTACAAGGTCCCACGTCTTATGTTCCCAAGCCAGGTCATAGCAGTGAAGCAGAGAGTCAGGAAGCACTTGCTGAGCGTCATGGTTACCGCCATAAGATGGTGGATTCTGGAGAACAAGATAAACACTCTGACAGGACCCCCAGGTTCAGGGGTCGTCCACTGACTTCAGAACCAATGAGATCAAAACCGTTACTGGAGGATGAGAAACAGCGTCAGCCTCTTTACAAGAGGGGATCAAGATTTGATCATGAAGTCAAATCCACAGAGGAGAATACTTGGAAGAAAGTGACTCATCAGGAGTCTAACGAAAGGCCTGTAGCATCACAGGAGAGAAAAGCTGTGGAGGTTGACAAGAGGAAGGTGCCAAGTTCTGTTTCTGTTCAAACAGAGGTTTTGAAGCAGGATGCATCCCAGACCACTCTGATCTCCTCCTCAGCAGCTGTAGCATTATCTGTTGCTGCTGCTGTGGCTGCAGGTGCTTCTACATCAAAGATAACAGGAAGCTCGACTACTGCTGAAACAAATAACGAGATAATGATGAAAGGAACGTCCGAGATTGCTGACCAAAACGTCTCCCAAAAGTTCAGTCAAGACATCGTACGCAGCTCAGCAGTAAAATTGCATCCTAAAAAGGAAACCAAAGAAATGAAAACAAAACCTGCAGAGGTTACTGTTCCAGGTAAAACGGCAAGTAAAATAGTTGAGCCCAAACTAGTCCCTTCAATGGAATCTACCCAGGAAGCATCCAAGGTTGTTAGCCAAGCCGCTGTCGCCCCTGTTGATACTGAGTTGTCTGATGTTAAAGAAGGACAGCTTAAGAAAGAAGAGGTTAATAAGGTTTCACTTAAGCCCCTGGAAACGAAGACAGAAACTCCAGTGAAATCTAAAATAGAGTGTGATGTCACAGAGAAAAATATGAAAAAAACACAGAAGAGCAGCAAAACTAAACATGCAAGCAGCATCAGTAAAGCAGTGGGTACCGCGGGTGCATCAGACAACACCTCCAACACTCAAGTCATCCAGGAACCATCAGTCCAGGCTAAAGTAACACCGCCAAGTGTGACTGGAAAACCTAAAAAAGATGAGGTGTCGCTTAAAATGACATCCGAGTCCTCAGCACCTGGAGTTAAATCTGCCCCTGACACTACAAGTGCCTCAGCACCTGGAGTTAAATCTGCCCCTGACACTACAAGTGCCTCAGCACCTGGAGTTAAATCTGCCCCTGACACTACAAGTGCCTCAGCACCTGAAGATCCAACGTTTCTGACACAGAAAGTTACAGGCATAGAGATGAGCACAAAACAAGAAGATACAAGTGTAAAAGAAGCCTTACATGCCAGTAAAGATGGATCACTGCTGCCAGAAGAGGTCCCTAAAGGATCAGAGAAGAGCCTTGAAGAACTACAAGATGTTGTCCAACTAACTCAGACTGCTGATGAGGTGATTAAAGCTACACAGCAGGCATCTGAAGGCACCTCCAAATCTAAAAGAAAGAAAAAGAAGTCTCCAGGGGAGACACCCAAGAGCCCTGATGCTGTGGAGTCACCTGAGTCAAAGAGAAAGGAGGAGGAACCCTCTGGAGATAAATTCCCAAAGGGAGTAACTACAGAAGACATCATCCCAGTTATTACGTCTGTGCCCTTAACTGGGTCTGCCTCCATGATGAAAGCAGGTAAAAACATGGCTGAATGTAAGGTAGATGCTAACAAGGAGCAAACATTAGAAATTCCTACAGAAACTAATGGGAAGGTAAAAGTAGAGGTCATTAGAGCATCTAACTCTGCACCAGAACAGGCATCACAGCCAATAGGTGCAGTGCTTGTTAAAGATGTGCGAGAACAGACGAATGTCAGCAACATCACAGTAGGATCAATACGCCCCCAAGGTGAAATAAAAACAACGTTGGCTGATGTGAGGCCGAGTAAATCAGAGGAAGTGTCTGCCCCCAAAAAGGAAGCACAAACAGCCCAGAAAATAAGTCAAGTTGAGCTCGTTCAGGCAGGTACTGAACCTAAACCTACAGAGGCTGATAAAACTGAGAAAAACAGCCAAAAAGTACAGAAGACACCCAAAACCAAACATGAGATCAGCACCAAACCTGTGAAGTTCACTGATGCATCAGATGTCACCTCCAACACTCAAGTCATCCAGGAACCATCAGTCCAGGCTAAAGTAACACCGCCAAGTGTGACTGGAAAACCTAAAAAGGATGGGGTGTCGCTTAAAATGACATCCGAGTCCTCAGCACCTGGAGTTAAATCTGCCCCTGACACTACAAGTGCCTCAGCACCTGAAGATCCTAAGTCTCTGGCACAGAAAGTTACAGGCATAGAGATGAGCACAAAACAAGAAGATACAAGTGTAAAAGAAGCCTTACATGCCAGTAAAGATGGACCACTGCTGCCAGATGAGGTCCCAAAAGGATCAGAGAAGAGCCTTGAAGAACTACAAGATGTTGTCCAACTAACTCAGACTGCTGATGAGGTGATTAAAGCTACACAGCAGGCATCTGAAGGCACCTCCAAATCTAAAAGAAAGAAAAAGAAGTCTCCAGGGGAGACACCCAAGAGCCCTGATGCTGTGGAGTCACCTGAGTCAAAGAGAAAGGAGGAGGAACCCTCTGGAGATAAATCCCCAAAGGGAGTAACTACAGAAAACATCATCCCAGTTATTACGTCTGTGCCCTTAACTGGGTCTGCCTCCATGATGAAAGCAGGTAAAAACATGGCTGAATGTAAGGTAGATGCTAACAAGGAGCAAACAATAGAAATTCCTACAGAAACTAATGGGAAGGTAAAAGTAGAGGTCATTAGAGCATCTAACTCTGCACCAGAACAGGCATCACAGCCAATAGGTGAGGCAGCTGCAGTGCTTGTTAAAGATGTGCGAGAACAGACGAATGTCAGCAACATCACAGTAGGATCAATACGACCCGAGGCTGATTTAAAAACAATGCTTGCTCCTGTAGAACCAATTAAATCAGAGGAAGTAACCGTCTCCATAAAGGAAACACTTACAGGGCCAAAGACATGCCAAGTTGAGCTTGCTCAGTCAAGTGCTGAACCTGAAGGGAAGTCACCATCAGAATCTCAGATCACTGCTGAAACTAAATCTCAATCAAACACAGAGAAAGATGCAGAGGAGCCTTCAAAGGGGAAGAAGAAAAAGAAAGGTAAAAAACAAGTTACAACACTGCCTAAGGACACAGTTAAAGATCGCCCTGTCACGGCCTCTGAAGTGACAGAAACCAACGTTCCTTCAAAGATGACTCCTGAAAGAATGTGCTGTGAGGAAGTCAGGCAGGCAGCAGCTGTGGGCTCTGAGGCCCCAGCAGACAAAGGGGAGGTGGAGCTTTCACTGCTCACGGCAGAAAAAAACAAGCAGGAGGTTCCGAAACCAGAAACATCTTCCAATGTGAGGAAAGCACCCACAGAATCAGAGTCAGCAGCTCCAGCAGAGGCTGCTGAGGCGCGGGCCAGCCCTCTAGTCGAGCAGCAGGAGCCTCCCAGAGTTGCACAACATTCAGCCAGCCAGGCAGCAGAGTGCAGCACACAGGAGAGGCTGTCTTTCTGTGAGGCCTTAAAACACGAGGAAGACGAGAAGAGGAACTTGGAAGAGGACACACCCTCTGCTACTGCCACACCCGTAGCACAGCCTGACCAGTCTCATCTGCTGGACACCTGTGAGTCCAAACATCTCAGCACAAGCGAAGCCACCATGAGGAAGAAGATTGTGGTGGTGGAGGAGATAGTTGAAGTAAAGAAGATCCTCAGTCCTGAGGCTGCTGGAGAGCAGGCCCCCCCTCCACCTGTCCAAACTGAGGTGGAGGGAGAGGAGCTGGACATGGATGTTCTGGAGGAGATCGCTATAGAACGAGCTCTCTTATCAGGGATCAAGGTGCAAGGAGCCTCATCTGGGACTGAGTGGGACCACTCGCTGGCCGAACCCGAGGAGAAGACATGGCCTAACTTTGTTGAAGGTTTGTTTGAATCATTTTGACCTACTTCCTGTCCTGTCCTAATCTAGATTCCCACCTTCTGTGAACGTTTGGATGCTTTGGCAGGGATGACAGCTCTATTGTTGCTCCACACTGCTCTGAGTAAACTATTTTACTCTGTTGGTGGTTTTGACTTTTCCTCTAAAGGCTTGTTTGAATGGGTTGAGTCGAGTCGTTTGGGATGTGGAGACGCTCTCTCTTTAGCAATCGTTTCAATGTGGGAGTGAGAAGAGACTGTTGACATGTGGCTGTGATTTAGTCATGCGTGTGTGTGTGTGTGTGTGTGTGTGTGTGTGTGTGTGTGTGTGTGTGTGTGTGTGTGTGTGTGTGTGTGTGTGTGTGTGTGTGTGTGTGTGTGTGTGTGTGTGTGTGTGTGTGTGTGTGTGTGTGTGTGTGTGTGTGTGTGTGTTGAAAGAGATGAAGCCTTGGTTCATGCGTTTTGACACACATTCCACACAGACGTTATCACTTAGACTGCACAAATGTGAAACTTAAAGGTTAAAAAAGGCTGTTTTAATTGCAACATTTATCACAAACTAATGTAAATTATTGTGCACACTGCTTCACAGTTGCTGTTTTCTTTTTAGGACCTTCTAGAACATTCTTTAAAAAGTGAAACCTTTTGGGTGGAGAATCCATTTCAGTTGGAGTTCAACTGCCTAATGCTGAGAGGAGTAATCTCTGGAGTTTCTCTGAGAGTTTGCCAAAGTGATTATGCACCAGCCATCAGTCCAACAAGGTGGGGCTGTTTGTTGGGATTCGGCCTCACTGGCTGTCTGCAGAGACGGAAGGTGTGGTTCTCGTGGGAGTATTGCTCCACTTGTATAGTTTTTTGGCTCGGGTTTACATTCTGTGCTTGTTTTTCTTCTTTACTCAGTCTGTTATTTATTAGAGATAAGCACACCACTGCTTACCATTAAGTAATGGCAAGTGAATAATATTAGAGGGATGGTGGCGGTGTGAGAAGGATACAGAAAACGTTCAGAACAGATCTAGCTCAATGATGTTCATTTTTTATTAAAGGATAAATTATTCCTTTTTAGCACTGACATATTTCGAAAATATGCTTTTATTTTACTTTTAAAAATAGAAAAAGTAGTTTTATACTTGTCATTCTTTAGCTCTTAGAGTGATAGGGAGGAGCTGCATGGGCGTTGTCTACTGTGGATGTCAGCTACAGACTGAGTCAGGAAGTTGGGATAGTTGTTCTCTGCTTCATGGGTGTGTTTGTTTGGATCCACACGTGACAGAGGATCTGCTTTCGATTAGCAGCCTGGCCTCTTGATTCAGTCTGTGTTACTCATCAGGAAAAAGTCGTTCTTTTGCAGCAAGAGAAAAACATGTTTCTCCATGCAAACATCATGAAGCCCATCATTCACTCAACACAGTTTAATTCATTGCTGCGTTTCAGAAACTGTAAAAAACGGTTGCGTTGACAACAGAAACATTAAAATGTGTGCGTGAGGCGAGAGTCTGATGTGTGACATTCACACCAAAGGACACAGCGGTGCACTACTGACATCTGCTGTCCATTAGCATCTCTGTCCAGAGGAGGTTTATTAAAACCTGCATCATTTAGAATGAAGCTGTATTCTTCTGCTCCTTTAGGATTTACCTTACGTTTAGTGTTAGAATTCCTCGCTGATGGATAGATGTGGTTTTCCAACAGTGCCTTTTCAGCTGTTATCATCTACGTGTGGTATTCATGGTATGCTGGCTAATTAAACGGCTGTCAACCAACTCAGTTACTCCCGGGAATATTTCACAGTTCGGCACGTCCCCTTTTATCATGTTCAGTCATTTTCTGTTCCTGTGAATCAGAGATGTGAACAACAGGTAGTGAAAAGTGTTTTAATTAAAATCATTTGCCCCAAAAATGTGCCTATTTAAAGGGAATTTACAGCGTTTTGAATTTTTATGCTCGCGATTGCCCCCTCAGGCCAAAAGCGTAATGGCAGCTGCAATAGTAGGCTCGTGCACGAGGCGCGCATGCTGTACGTGCACACTCCTAAACGAAAATAACAGCTGAGACCGTCAGCTCCGTGTGTGTGTGGCCCGGAGGACAGAGGACAGGAGAACTTGCAGCTAATTAATTAAATAATTTGGTTCTGTATCTTTCTCTTCAGCACAGCCGACAAAAGTTTAAGATGGGTCAGTCCTCCTGCATGCTCTTGAAAAATTATTCCAAAATGAAAGTTGAACCCACATCTTTTTTAGTTGTGAATTCAATGCCGTTCGGTGAGTCTCAAATAAAAATGTGGGCATCTTACTGTAAAAAATATACCATTAATGTAAAACAGAAACTCTAAATAAACTAAGTTCACATCCAGAATTGAACCCGGGTCTTCTGCACAAAAGTCCGACGTCTTACTAGGCAAGCTACCGTGCCAGTGACATCACTTGTATCTGTACCAGTTAAGAACGGTTCGGAGGGCGATGCCTGAGCGTGAACGCGCATGAAGCAGTCTGCTCGACCCAAGCAGCTCTCTTTTTCTGTGATTTTACAGAAAACTAGGCAATCACAGTAAAAATGCCAGGGCTCATTCTACAGGACCAGGGCATTGTATTGAGAAGAAATTTATTATTTCTATACATGTTTTGGCTGTCAAATTTCCATAATGTCCCTTTAACCCTCTGGAGGCAGGCGTTTCAGATTCGCAATGTTGAAACCTACCAACCTGGTTACTCCACATGCGTATTTCATGTGCAGTTTTTAACTCAGAAGTACCCTGAAGGACTTAGTTGTTCGTCCTTTTATCGAAACTTGTTTAGAGCCTGAGTGGGTTAAACCAGATGATTTGTCTTTTAAAGGAACGGTTTGACGTATTTTGAAAGTAGCAGCGTATCGCCCCAAACACAAGCTTTACAGCTTGGAAATGACTGGACATGCATGTGTGGGTGTTTAAACTCTGCCCACTCGTGGCACCAGAGGCAGTTAAACTAAATGACATCCCAGACATGCCTCAGAGCTCCTTCTTGTTTTCAGCTCTGAAATTATGCCCACTGTCAGATGGAAATGAACAACCGCAGTGTGCTGCAGCTCTGTGCCTTTCTTTGTGCCTTTCGGAACATCATTTTCATGGTGTGACTCACTCTGAAGTCCTCTGAGAAGTAGGAATCTGACTTTTTGGGCTAAAAGACATAAAAAACCAGGGACTTAATGACAGTCCTAACTCACCCTGTCCGTGAGAAGATGTTGTTGTGATCTGGCAGCTTGAGTCGACTCTCCTGCTGCCGTTTGTGCTTCTGCCCAACACCAATGTTTGGCCCAAACTGGCTAAGTGACTTTAGCGGCTGTGCGGTTTCTCTTTCTGCTGAGTCCAGTGGTGAAATCACTTCTAGTGCTTTATTATGAGTGTCAGCACATAGCGGCATATCTTTTAAGAACTGGGACATGAACACACCAAACCAACACTTTTCTGTGCCCTGATGCTGAAAATGTTGACTTTAAAATATTTTGTGTACTGAGAGCATGACCCAAGACCAATCCGACCTTAGGTCTCTGGACTGAAGCATTTGTCAAATGTAGTTAGATAAGCGTTTGGCAGGAGCTTCAGTATGAATCTTTGAACTGCTGCGCTGATACTTGGTACTTAACATCTGATTTGTTGCAGCAAAAACTGCTACAGGCAAAAAAAAAGTGATGCAGAATCCCAAATCTGTCGTAGCACTGCAACAGTTAATGCAGCACGAACCAGGATCAATAACACGTGGAGAATATTACGGGTTTGGCCAAGATAGTTATACTGTTAGTCATTTCCCAGCCGGATTGAGGAGGCTGACTTGCATGACTTCAGTTCTGTGAAAAAGCTGAAGGAAGGATGTTTGTTTTTCTTAAAGATCCAGATAAAGGGGCGATGATGACAGAGGAGATACGTGCCCACCCTGTAATCGGAGGGTTGAGCTGCTGGTAGTGGTCTGAGGGACCACTGGTGCCGATGCTCGATGACTCGCCTGTCAGTGCGCTCGGGGCAGCCGTGGCTACGTTGTACCTGATCACCACCGTGGTGTGAATGTGTGTGTGAGTGGGTGGGTGACTGTCACCTTGTAGAACCCTAAAAGAACTATTTCAAGGTCATTTGCCTTTTTTTTTCTTCTGTAGAGCAGAGGTGACCATGTCTAACTTCTGGTTCTGTTAAAGTAAAACTGAGTCAGACGCTCCATCTGTTTGATGCAAGCTTCAGATAGCTGTTCCAACTTGAACGAGTGTGTGAGTGGAGTCCTGGTTGAGTTGCGTGAGTGAACGCAGCATGTTGAGGGAGGAATTCCACGCCGTCCTCTCCAAACCTCCTTCCTTTGATTGGGATGCTCTTCATTTCATCCCTGGCCATTTGTAGTAGCATTGTCTCAGTGAGGGGGAAGCCGGTCCCTGGATAAACGCTGGGTGGAAATGCCTTTGGCATTGCACAGAAATGGAGCAAATTGTCAACACTTGGAATTGCCCGAGCATTATATCTAATGGGACTCTATATTTAGAGAATGTGGAGCATTAGTGTAATCCCAAAAGCAGCAGGTGGAGGTCTGGGCCTTTAAAACCTTTGTGAGGCTGCTCTGATAGAGCAACGATCTCATCAGTGTTGGAGCTCACTTTGCATATTTAAAGATATTTCTGTCTGCTTTTCCAAATGTCGATGCTGAACGTAGGGAGTTGAAGTCATCCCACCTACATCCATCAGGAATCTTGTTAGTTCTCATGGACACACCGACAGGATTGTAGTTGGGATATACGTTGTTTAATATCATTGGTATTATCGATCAGAACTGATCTTTCACAATCACTGCTGACTATATTTTTTCTCATTAGAGACTCTGCCCATTATGAATCGAACCTACTCGAGTGGGACCTGACACGGGGCTGTCGGGGCTGTGATCTGAGACTTCATATCAGATAATTGACCTGCCGCCGTTCTCTTCAAAGGGAGAAGCTGAGAGGGTGGTGGTGTCTGCTTATGTCTGCTTATGTCTGCTTATGTTGGGGAGGG